GGTGGGGGGGTTAGGTGAGGGGAGGCCATTGTCTGTGTTCCGTTTCGCACCCCAGTTGAGCCGCACGGGGGCTGCGAGTCATTGGTTGCAGGCAAGGGAGATTGATCGGCATCGGGGCACATTGTGAGCGGCCATCCTGTCAACGAGCGGGCAAAGGAGGTCGGGGGCCGCCGTTTCCACCGATGCTCCTCCCGCCACCATTGTTTCCATTGCAGGTGATGGTCGAATTGCAGTTCCCCTATCAGTCTTCCCGGGTCGAGCCATACGTCCTGAAACAGAGCAAGTTGTTGTGCCCTTTGCGTGTGGTCCGTTGTTGTTTCCAGGATTGTCATCAGCTGTCTCCAGGCTCTTAGAATGTTCGTTCTTATAGTGTCTACGATATGTTGTTTAGCCTGAAGAAAGCCGAAACTGTGTTCTTTCCTTTCGTAAGAGCATCGTGCCCGCTACGCCACCATCAGAATTTCCAATCGTGTATATTTGAACAGGTTTAGTTGGAATGGAGTCTTCAAAGTCGGGATTTGGAGAAGTCGTTTAGCAGAATTGCCATCTGGTCCCATGGGAACTCAGTGACTGTGAGAAAGTGCCAGGCTGCCGTCCACCACTGCCATATCTGTCGTACCATCGGGCAGTAGAGCAGGCAGTGCTCCAGATCCGCAACTTGCTGTTGTGTGGAGGAGCCACTGTAGGAGCAAATGGGCGATAATAGCCCTCTTTGTTCCAGCTGTGATCTGGAGACCACCCAATCCGGTGTCCACAAATTCCAGTATTAACGGGCACAACTTTAGGAAGTACTGGTGACCCGGTTTCCAGCAGGTGCAGCTCCATACCCATCGATTGGATCCAAAAAAAAAAAAGAAAAAAAAAAAAGGAAGTACTGGTGGTTTAACCATAAATTCGAGTATTGACATTGGAAATTTAGATACCACATCCACCCAAAACAAAAAAACGAAAAAAAAAAACAAAAAAAAAACAATGATGTCGCGTCCACACCATACTGGGAATCATGACATGGCAGTGGATGTGGCAATCAATGCCAGAACACCAGGGGACAGCTCCCAACAACTGTCATGGAGAAAATGTGTTTGTTGCATCATGTCCACATTCCCGCAACCGCTCACTACTCAACCACCATCAAACTGCATAAAGCAGTTGGCCTGTGTATAGGCAGCAACCAAAAAAAAAAGAAAAAAAACAGCAGGTGTACGGGGAGCAGAAAGAAGCTGACAGGTGGCACTGAGGTTGGTTGGAAACAATCTTTTTTTTTTTTTTTTTTTTTTTTTTTTTTAAGCTATGTTCTTCTCTCAATTATACCTCACACTACCTACCTAGCACACTACTTACAATCTCCTACGGAACGAAGGAATGAAAAAGGACAAAATGATTAAAAATCCCAAAACCGATTGGCCTAGCTCAGTCGGTACACCCGCGAACAGTTGAAATGCAGACCCGAGTTCGAATCCAAATGCAACCAGATGAACCGAATCAAATAATTCTGAATTTCCTAGGGCAGGTCTGCTCAACGACGATATCTCAAGGCCATCACCCTTTTTGTCAGAAAAAAGAGATTAAAAAAAAGGGGGAAATCATTGGCCTAAAAAATCCCCCCCCAAAAAACACCTCTTCTACTGGTTTCCCTTTGGAGGAAGGAAAGCCTCTTTGAGCTCCAATGCCTCCATAAGGCTTGTGCTCCAGTGCTTCCATAATTTGCCCTGTTTGCTCCAATGGCTTTACCATAATGTACCCACTAGCACCAGCTGCCCTAGGTCAGTTGGTACACCTCTCAACTGTTGAAATACAGACCTGACAACACCTCAGGGGGACTAAGGAGCACACACCAGGGACAKTTTTTTTTTTTTTTTTTTTTTTTTTTTTTTTCACCAGGGACAGTATGCCCGCTTCAGGCGGTTTGTCTAGAGGTGGGAAAGGTGTGCCCCCATTACGCCAACAATGTATAATTTCTGTGATTTCTGTAATAGGGACGCTGGGCCTGTTTCCCAGCAGGTGCTGCTCCCCACCAATAGATGGAGCCTACCCCGGACCAGCTTGAAGTGACTGCTCCTACCAGCACCTCAAGCTGCCTCTGTAGATGTTTGCAGGAAAAAAAGAAAAAAGAAAAAAGGGTGACGCCTGTGCGACTGGGTAGCGTAAAGGTCTACCAGTGCGGGATGCTCTTAGCCATTAACCCTGAGATGAGGTGGGATGGTACATAGTTGTAGACATCTGCTAAGGGTGACGCCTGTGCGACCGGGTACCGTAAAGGTCTACCAGTGCGGGATGCTCTTAGCCATTAACCTGGATGCGGCTGTTCAGAAATGAGTGGTTGTCTACAACCATTGTATCAGGGGTATTGACAAAACATGACTACATAGTTGAGAGGCATTAGCACAATTAGGATCCCGGACCACTTGCGCGCACAATATTTTGTGAGGGACGCCGGGCCCGGTTCCCGGCTTTTATAAAAAAAATGTTTCTTAAAATCTAGAACTGGTATCCCTTAATCTCCAACCTGATTGACGGCTCTACACTGTCAGCATTGTTCAAAGAAAAAGAAAAAAAATGAAAAAAAGAACCAGTTAAATCACCAGTGCAACGGAAAGGGCATCAGGAAAAAAAAAAAAAAAAAAAAAAAAAAAAAAAAAAAAAAAAATTGCATCAGGCCTCACTTCTCTGAAACCGGTCTGCCTGCACCTGGTCCAACGCTTTAATAATGGGGTAACTACACGAAATTGCACTTCAGGCATTCCCCCGAACATTACACCCCCCCTCTTGACTGTGCCGGACCTGCAAGCTAGCTTGTATACATTCCACATTTTCAGGCCAAATGCCTGAAGTGCAATTTCAAACTGTTTTTGTGACCACCGCGTAGTTTCCCCCTTTAATTATGCTAGCACCGGCCTGATATGGACTGGTGGTTTCTGCAAACAATGTCGGTATAAGTATCGTCATAGAGAACTGCCCGGTGAACTGGAAGAAGAGTGGGAGTAGAGGACAATTTTGAAACTGGTTGGTATACTACCATAATGAAGTTACCTTTCATTTTTTGTATTTGGATAGGTTTTGTTTTCGCTTCTTTTGGAGGTTTCCGAAGTTTATAACATATATAGTGATTGATATATGGTCAAACAGGACTTCCTGGTAAACTGTAGGCAGAGAAGGAACAGAGGATGACAGACGAGGGGCTGTGACAGACAGTTTCATTGGAGATTCGCTGATTCATCAGGAGGCTGTATATAATATATAGAGGGTGGCCTGCGTTCAGGACGGACCTATATACGGTTACCAGTCCGTACGTATGGAGGCCCCCGGGGCCGACCTCCGTACGTTCGGGAGTTCGAACCGCAAGGGTTTCGGCCCCCACCAAAAATTATTTCGGGGCCTAAAAATTATTTTGTTTTTTTTCTGAATTATTTTTTAAGTTCTCTATGATGTGAGGTACATGCCTATAAATTTGGAAGGCATTTTGCTAAGCCAAAACAAAATGAAAATAGCCAAAGATGGCAGTGTCAAAACATGCTCGCCCACTCACTATTTTGGGTTTTTTTCTCTTTTCACTTTGTGTTTTCACTTTATTTTGGGGCCTGAACAATTTTATTATTATTATTTTATTTTTTTATGAGTTTTGTATCATGTGAGATACACATCTACAAATTTTCAAGGAATTTGACTAAGCCAAAAAAGAAAAGAAAAAAATGGCCAAAGATGGCGGTATTTAAAACATGGCCCCCAACACATTTATTTTAATTCTCTCTTCATTTTTCCTTATTTTTATTATTATTATTTGTTTTTCATATTTATTTTTAATTTCAAATTTGGTAAGAATTTGGATGTAATGCTGAGTCAAACATTGTTCAGTTTATTTTTCTGCATTACGCTGGCATTGTGTTTGACAATGACGCGAGACTGTTGCCTTGCGTTGCTGGCGCCTCTCTTCTGCTCTTGGCACCAACTGGAGACTTGATTGCTGTCGTGGCACTATACACATTGTTGTCGACACAGATTGCATATTGACGAGGAGGGAGATCAGGGCTGTGAGATTGGTTGAGAGAGAGAGAGAGACGCTTACCTGATTATTGCTGTCGACATTGCGCACTGCTGTGACATCTTTATGGGAGATCTGTGCCTACGTGGCACTATGTTGTGATCGGTTCTCGCCAGGCTCGTCTTTGGGATACTGTATGCTGACGTGGACAGCGGGGAGATGCCCGAAGGAGGAGTCGGACATGACAGAGATCTATATTCGATGACATTGATGGATACTTTCTCTTCCACCTTCTAAGTCTTATCTCCCTCCTATCAGCTTCATCCTTTGGTTACGAGACATTGTACTTCAGATCACATTCATGATTATTGGAGAGAGATTGACATGCGCTGAGACATCTTGTACTTAAACATTGACGAGTTTCTCTCCAGACTGGGTTCATTGCAAGTATTTGTTTTTAAATTTTAATACTTTTATCATTTTTTTTTATTTTTTTTTTAATCAAAACAAATTGAGAGCATGCCTCTGAAATGATAGTCCAAAAACTGTTTCCTCCTCACCCTCCTTTGCCCTCTAACCCCCTTCTCGTCCCCCTCTCCACATTTTCCCAACCTCATCTACAAAGGGTATGGTGGCTCCCTTTAGGAGGTCTCACCCAACAGCATTGATTCCACACACCCCCTCCCGCCCCCGCCCCCCTCCTCCCCTTTAAACAACCACATGACCATAAATCCTGTGTCTTTGCACTCGCCACCGCCGCAGGCCGCACGTATTTTCAGTAGGAGGGGGTCTGTAAGCCTTTCAATCCACCGCCACATGTCCCTAAGCGTTTCCTTTTTGGTAAGCAGTGCAATCCACCGCCACGCACCTGTAACCATTTTTTCAATACACTGTAAACCTTTTTTTACCCACTGTAAACCTCTTTTTAATCCACTGTAAACCTTTTTTCCCCTGTAAGCCACAGGTCTTCTTTTCTAGTGGAGTTCAAACTCAGGTCTGTATTTCAATAATTCAGGGGTGTACCAACTGAGATACCAATCAGGCCAGTTGGTTCATAAGACTTTCTTTTCTGTAGCCACAGGTCTGTAAGCCTTTCTTTTCTAGTGGAGTTTGAACTATAAGCCTTCTTTTCTAGTGGAGTTCGAATTATAAGCCTTTCTTTTCTAGTGGAGTTCGAACTATAAGCCTTTCTTTTCTAGTGGAGTTCGAACTCAGGTCTGCATTTCAACAGTGCAGGGGTGTACCAACTGAGCTAGGCCAGTTGGTTCATAAGCCTTTCTTCTCTGTAAGCCACAGGTCTGTAAGTCTGTTTTACCTATATTAAGCCACTGGTCTGTAAGACCCCTTTTTTTTTTCCTGTAAGCCTTTCAATCCAGCGCCACAGGTCTGTAAGCCTTTTTTTGCTAGAAGGGTTCGTAATTGTAGGCCTTTTTTTGCTAGAAGGGTTCATAATCGTAGGCCTTTTTTCCCCCTGCAAGCCTTTCAACCCACCGCCAGGGGTCCATAAGCCTTTCAATTCACCGGGGCATAGGTCTGTAAGCCTTTCAATTGGGCTCCCAACCCCCCTCCCTCCCGTGCTCTTTTTTTTTATTATTATTATTATTATTTTTTTGGAAAAAACGGCCAGAGGAGGTAGTAGTGGTGCTGGTGAAAGTTTTTTTTTTTTTTTTTTTTTTTTTTTTTTTTGGAAAAAACGGCCAGAGGACGTGGTAGTGGTGCTGGTGAAAGCAGACACCACTACTACTCATG